CACACACACACACACACAAGTCAACCTTCTCAGCAACTTCTACTTTTGTGTCGAGTTATTCCCGATACAGAGTGTGTGAAAAGCTTGCATGTGTTTTGTGTTTGTACCTGTATGCAGTTGCTAAAATAAAGGCTGTTATTCTTGTAAAAATGTACAATCAAATATACGTTCTTATGTTCTCTCCATCGCCTGCGTGGATCTCCTCTTGGCGCTCCAGTTTCCTCAAGCAGTCCAAAGACATGCAGGTTAGATGCATTTGTGTGAGCGACCCTCCTCTCGCCCCCCACAAACCTGATCAGCTGGTTTAGATAATGAATGGATTGGAGGATGCATATCATGCAAATAAAATGTATTTTATTGACGTGATTTCTCTGCAGGTCTCTGGTTCTGAAGCACATGACACACTGCTGCTAGATACCTTTTTTACTTTTTCACACCAGGTGTGAATAACAAATGCTGCTGCGGTGCAGCAAAATATCTTTTAACTGGTCCTGAATCAGTCTCAGTTTAGTCCTGATCCTCTGCATGAACCAGTCTCAGTTTAGTCCTGATCCTCTATCAGACCTCCATCAGTAAAGAGACCATCGGAGAGAAGATGGTCTATTTCTATAGAGTTATTCTTAATGCTCGTCATCGGAGCCACCGGGTCGGATTCTGGTGAAACCAGATGAACTCATGCAGGTTCACCAGAAACTCCTTCAGCTCAGACTCCAGCAGAGACCGGTCCACCGTGGACAGACCCAGATCCTCCAGCAGAGACCGGTTCACCGTGGACAGACCCAGATCCTCCATCAGAGACCGGTCCACCGTAGACAGACCCAGATCCTCCAGCAGAGACCGGTCCACCGTAGACAGACCCAGATCCTCCAGCAGAGACCGGTCCACCGTGGACAGACCCAGATCTGATTTACACTTTGTTTTTGTACAGATTAAATAAAGATCAGTGAACTTTAGAGGTGCTCGTAGGTTTATATTGTTACTTCTGGACAGATCAAGGCTAGCTGTTTCCCCCCTGCTTCCAGTCTTTATGCTAAGCTAAGCTAACTGGCTGAGGCATAAGACTGATACTGATCTTATTATCAAACTGTCCGCCAGGGAGTGAATACATTTCCTTTAAAAAAATACTTAAATGATTTATTGATTATGGAAATTGTTGTAATTTACTTTCAAAAGAATAATTGATTGGTTTGAACCATTTTAGCTCTAACATACAGAATGTTTTTTAATGAATGGCGTATAAATATACCTTACTGTACATCTTATTCTTTAGGACAGTTGTCCCTGAGCTACATTGCTCTCTGGTTTCTGTCCCACTGCTGCTGCTGCTCTACAAATTGGTCTCTGTTTCCTCTCCTCTGGTGGATTTGTCCCTGTGGGATTGTTACATCATTGGTGCAAAATGGCAGCTTAAGAAAGAAAGAAGCCCTCACCTTTTTTTAATCCTGACACGCTGAACCCCAAACAGGTTTAATCGTTGTTTTACATTTTAGATTGCAGAAACATTTTCTGGTATCGGATTCCAGAGTGGCTGCTGGATATATTTAGAAATGAACAATGCACCAAAGGAGACAGACACAGACCATCTCCATTAATCATGTTTTCTTCTCTGCAGATTTTGACTGTTTCGGGAGATTTTGCAGCTTTTTCTGTGAGATTTAAAGTATAATCAACGTTGTAAGTTTTCTGCTTAATAAGTCTTTTGATTCCAGTTTATCCTTGGGTTTAATTTTAGATGTGTGACCCATCCCCGCTGAGTCTGTTCACTCTTATCTGGGTGAGTGGAGTCTTTCTGAGCTCTGAGGCTCATTAACACAGCATTGCACTCGAGGGAATCCACTGGAACCAGCAGCCCGTATTGATCCCAAAACCCAGAACAACTGAAATATAAATGAAGGAGTTTCACTGAGGACTCCTTTGTCCACCCACGGCCCGTCGTTATCTAACAGTGGCTGCAATATTTCTCTTCATTACTGTCGAGATTTATTATTACAAAACCTGATCAGAATTGGAATGGCTTAATTTTCTGATGACAAACTGTATTAGATATCACAAAAGTAGGACTTTATGGTGATAATAACAAACTGAACCTGCATTCCCTGTTGAGCAAATTAGCTTTTTCTTACAGGAACATTCTACATAATTAAACACGTTTTGCAGAGAAAAAGAAATCCGCAATATAATTACATCACAGACAGAGTGTGTAAGACCGAGAGAGGGATTTTAATTTTAATTTAGATGCTTTGGCAATATCTCTCATCTAATATTCATGCCAATAAAGAAGATTATTGAAATGGAGAACAGACACACAAAGACAGAAAGAGACACATCTATATATACAGGATGAGAAAGACAGTTATACAATGAGAGAAACACAGAAATGGGCAAAGTTACACATGTGACGTAATATACTTTATTACAACATTTGGGCTGTTGCATGAATATTGATACGCTGCATGTAGGTCATAAACATTCAAGGTTTGTCAGATTACTTTAAAGTTACCTCAAGTGTTGATTCTGTTGGCCCCTGTGGACTAAAGTGGTGTCTCTGAGCACCAGAGTCCCTTTAGAAAACCTCATTGTGCTGCAGCAGGGTCTGACAGTGTGTTGGCTCCCGTTTACTTATGTAGGTCACGTAGAGGCATCAGTATTATATTTTCATAACTACTTAAACGTTTCTCACAGTAACTTTAATGCTCATTGATCATACTTTTTGTTTTTGCCATGAGTAGATTTTAGTAAAATGTCTAACTTCTTACTTCATCTTCTCTTTTGGCAGCACAGATGCTATTTTTCTGCCAGTGGCTCTGAAACAATTACTTGATAAGTCGATTAGATGTTTGATGAAAAACCAACAAAAAAACCCACAGCCCATGACCAATCACAAAAAACTAAATTGAAAAGCTCCGTCTTGAACACGATATTTGAACTCTTTTATTTGGGGAAACAACTCCCTCCAACAATCCACTAGTCCCTGCAGAAAATCATGCAGGGCCTTAGTAGACCTGGAGGTGCTGACTGTCCTCCTGATCGCTTCACACACTCAGATGCAGGTCACGGTCGGCTGAAGCCAACACAACCACATCATCTGCAAAGAGTCGAACTCTGTGGTTCCCCTGATGGCCCCTTGAGATCCTACCCACAGAATCGGTGACAAAGGACACCACCGACCGAAAACCTGTTTCACTTCTTGCCAAGAATACACAGAAAACTCTTTCAAAAGGTCCTAATATCTCTTACATGACTCCCCGCGGATCACAAGCCTTCTCCAAGTCCACAAAAATGAAGACTAAATGGCCAAACATGCTTGAACCCTGAGATGGAAAAGAGGTCCACTGGTCCACAACCAGCATGGAATCCACACTGCTCTTGCTATTATATATTATACCACATACCTGATGAAGATATGAACATATAAACAAATACATCATACCATTTATATACCTGATGACAGTCAAGCAGACCATCAATGAAAATTAACAAATGCACCAGCAGTAAGCAAGACAGCATCCAGGTTTTCACATCTTTATTCAAGTTGTGTTTTTCCTCCTCAGGTGAGCAGATATTTTATATTCCCAATTTAATTATATATGCACCAATAAAGCACATTTAAAAAACTGAAAAAATAGCAGCCTCAAGACACCAAATCATGAGCAAAGGCAGTGAATAATAATAATTAAGTTTACCCATTAATAACTATAATACATAAACAATGCACAGAGATTGCTTTGAACAATGAGCACTTTGATGACATGAACTATGTCTCTGTGAACTGTTTTGGGACATTTTATATACTAAATATGAATTATTAGATACAGTAGTGGGAGTCAGGTTGGATGATGAGAGGTGGTTGTGCATTGTTGAGCATAATGTTATGTAAGTTTGACATAATATATACAAAATATTTGAGGGATTTTACATGTTTTATGTATCTTATGTTGATGTCTGTCTGTGTTCTATATTTAAATGAACCTGAAGGGACAATAAAGTTACATTTAAGTTGCCTCCCTATTGTATTTCTTTTGTCTTAATTTGCTATTTTGCACGTCAATAAAAATAAGAAAAGATAAGATAAACCTTTATTGATCTTCAGAGGGGGAATTAGGGCGTTGCAGCAGCACAGACATAAACAAGTACAAGTACATAGAGAAAGGTAGAAAATAAAACAAACAAATAATTGGAAGTATATGAAATAAAAATGAGAATAGAATAAAAGTAGAAGGAGCAATCAGATGCAAGCAAGTTCACAAACAGTACCCACGACCAGAAGTGTACTTTAACTATGTCACACCGTCTCAAACAAAGTGACACTTTGAGGTCAGTAAAGTAGCAGCAAAGTATAGTTTATGTAAAGTAATATGACACCAACAACCATAACAGTGTACACCAGAAAAGTATATAATGTAGTAATATAGTGTGGGATATAAAGTAATGTATAATGTGAAGTTTTGATATAATTAAAAATAATGTATGGGTAAAGTACAGCAACACAGAGAGAGAGAGAGAGAGAGAGAGAGAGAGAGAGAGAGACAGAGAAAGAGAAAGAGAGAGAGAGAGAGAGAGAGAGAGAGAGAGAGTGAGGTCTATAGGCTGAATGGAGAGGTAGAGCGACATAGACTTAGAGTGAGGGGAGTGGTCACTGAATATCACTCTATTGTATATATTTATTCATATTTTTACTCTTTTCGTTTTTTCTTACTATTATGTTGCAATCTTTTTTTTAAACTCTGGCACTATAAATTCCTTCGGGATTAATAAAGTAATTTTATCTTTTATAAAATAAATAATAAAAGTAGCTTACTACTAATATAATTACTTTATATGTAATGCGACATATTTGAATATATGGCGTTAAGAGACAGACAGGTGTGGAGAGAGGGAGAGAGAGAGAGCGAGAGAGAGAGAGAGAGAGAGAGAGAGAGAGAGAGAGAGAGGCTGAATGGAGAGGTAGAGCGACATAGACTTAGACTGAGATGAGTGGAGGAGAGAGAGAGAGTCGCCATTACTGCCTGGCAGTGCTGCTGAGAGGGGAGGAGGTTTCAGTTTACAGGCGCATACCACACTGAACAACACTGAAATACACCTAAAAACACAGGCTAACCGGCCGTCGGACTACACCGTCAACCGAACCCCAACTTCGGATCTTGTCGGACACTAACAGCCGCAGATTGTGGATTTAAATTTTCTTTTTTTTTGCCCTGTAAAATGTGGGAATGCTTTCTCCTCTTTTTTTCCGTGGTATGTGGATTCTGGGAGCGACCATGTTATTAGGTGGGTAGGGGAATGTATTTGGGACTTCCATTAGCTTTTTCTTTGCTAGCACTCTTTTTTTTCAGGCGAAAACCTGGGCCCTAAAATTACGAAACTGAGGTGTGATAATAACACGAGTGTGGCTTGTTTTAAATTAAATTAAACTCCATTAAACTGTTTTTCTTCCCAAATGGTAGGCTCGGTTTCGTGTTGCTAACGCTATAGCTAGTTAGCTAACGTTACTACCCATCAACCCCCACTTTTTTGGCATGCGAGGCTAACATAGCTAGGCTAATGTTAGCTAATAGGGATTTTGGGAAAGGTGAATTTTTTTCTTCTCTCAGGCCGGGTTTCACGTCCTGTTCCCTGGAGAGAGGAGGGTAATAAATACCGTATCAAATGCTGTGGTTGCGATTGTTAGCTACGGTGCATTGACGCATTAACATAAACGTATGTTGGTTTAATTTTAAACCGTAACTTAACTCATTAACCGGAACAATAATTCACTTTAATTCACCTCTCTTTTTCTTTTCTTTTTTAGGATTTCTTTCGTGATTATCCACCCTTTTCAGTAGGTTTCATTCTCACGGATCAAACGGAAATACATAGAATATTCACATTTTAACGACACACTGACATCCGAGTTAAACGCCTTCACACTGTGCTAGCTTTCTATCCACTGTTTAAATGTTTTTTTTAACCTGTTCCGAGTTTATTTAGAAGTTTGCTGGGTTGCCAGTTTTCTGTGTCCAGCTGGTCAGTCAGGTCAGTGGGTTTGTCCTGCTGCAGCTCTGCATGACATTTAACCAAACTCTCTTTAAAGGGTTAGTCCGGCTTCTATCTTTTTCTCCACTCCTCTGAGTCTCTACATATATAAAACATCTGCCACATTCCTCAAACACATAGATTGTTAAAGGCATTGAGTATTCACGAGGTTCTTGTTAACAATATTGAGTTGGATGTTCCTTATCAGCTGTTACGCATGTTATTCTACATCCATACATGTGTTGTTGCCCATAGGCATAACGTGTAATATTCAGATAATGTGTGAGAGGAAATGTTTAGCATTTATTTTCTTGTCGTCTTGACAAGAAGCTTGCAGCGTTATCTGAATAGATAGTCTAAAAACAGCTTGAAGAAACCGGACAATAATGCATATTGGCGTAAATATGGTGGGGAATATTTCAATATAAGTGTCGGCTTCAACAAACCACACAAGGATTGATTCCAAGGACCTTTGTTCTGAGTGACTGCTGGTCTGATGAGTTGGCCTATAAACTGATTGTTACATCATCGATAACTCAGGAATGGGAAGTCAGATGAGTGAGACTCTGCTTCAGGTCTGGACCTGAATCTTGGAGGGGGGAGGGGGACGAGATCTCTGTGCACCAGCCAGGTGCTTCTTCGCATAGTTTTGAATTAAAAATCAATTTATTCAAAAGCTTTTTGCAGCGACAAAGACGTTTCGTTGAGAAATTGCACAGTGAATTTGAAAATAATAAACTTTCACCACTAACTCCAGCAGAATTATGCATATTACACATATAATAAGACGCTCTCAGCTCTTATAACAGCAGACTGGCTGAATATTTGCAGATACATTTTGACATTTAAGAAAGTTTGAGTCGTCTCTGTGTTGTGTTTTGTTGTATCACAGCTGTAGTTTCTCTCACAATGAGGTAGCTGACATTTAAAACCGCGTTACGCAACCCAAAAAAGCTAGCAGCTGAAAAATGAAAGTGACAGTTAATGGTGAAAATAAATAAATGAATTGGGTGTCATGATGGGGAAAGATTGTAACGTTTGAATAAATCTTTCTCTCTCGCTCTTTGCTTAATAGGAGGCGGTTTTTGTTGTCTGTGCACGAGATCAGAATTGGTTCTGGAGAAACATAATGAGTCAGTGGCGCCTCATTTACAGTCGATGGACCTCCTTTCCTCTGCAGGAGTCCTGCTGAAAAACATAAACAAGGTTATTTAAAAACCAAAAGCCCAGCTGGGTGCTGCTTTAGAAGGTCCGCCATCCCTGGCTGTGTGTGCTGCTGTGCTTCAGGCTTAAGCGCATTTAGTCATCTCTAAAACCAGCTTGCCAAGTGATACCTTAATCCCCCCCCCCCCACATCCCCACAGTGAATAGACTAATCATGATGCACGAGGCTACTTTTAGCTATTACTGTAGCACAAATGTAGTTTTGGCTGTAGTGTTTTGCAGTAATAAGGCTCCAGGTCTTATACAGTAAACTAACTAACTGTATATCAGTGGCACCACTCCTCTCTTCATACATGTTAACATTTATTCAATAGTCTCGTATCGACCCTGTGTGTAGACAGCGGAGCGATAGACTTGGATTCTGGCTGACAGAAATGCAAAACAGATGTTTGGATTCGGGTGACTGATCTGCTTAAACACTGGTGGTTTGGACGGAGATCAGGGGGAGGAATGCAGGGCCGTAAGAAGCGCTGGGTTAGTCGATCAACACAACATTAATAGGTTTCAGTTGTTGTAATTGATGGCCTTCGTCTATCGCCAATGAGTGGCTTCAAGTGTTTCCTAGTGGCAGTGAGAGGAGGGACTCGTGTACTGTTTAACATTAGAAATGACAAGATTTAGGTTTGTTTGGCTGTTGTTTTGAAGGAGTTATTAGTCTGTGCTAGTTTGTGATCAGTGTGCCATCAGTCGGTCATGGAAATACCTGGCTTGCGGGCATTAGTGTGTTTGTGTTCATGCACAGTGCTTCACCTGTTCATGAGCTCAGGTGAACGTCTCCCTGACTTCCTGCTTCAGTCAGGTGTGGCCCATTGTAGGGGCTCGTGGTTAGATCTGTAAACCTGACGGACCTGCTGGTCCGTTTGCTTTATGACTTCATCTAATGTCGTGGGTGTGTTTAAAGGGACGCGGAGCTCCTGGTTGGATGCGCCCAAATTACAGATAAGCTGACTTAACATTTAGGGCTCATTTCCTGCAGGTCATTTCCTCGAGTTCACCGTCATCTGTGTCATCTCACAAAGAGGGCAATGATTGTTTGATCTCTTTGTTTTTAGATAATGTGTCCTCCTCGTTTTTAGACCTGCAAACATTTCCATTAATGTTGCCTGTTTCTTAAGGTAGATATGCTGAACTCTCAAAACTCCCACCCCGCCACACACACATGTGACATCATCACCGTGGCCTTCATAAACGGTCGGGGGGGGGGAACCTTGTTGCTCGAGTGGTGTTGGCGCACCAAATTCCTTCTGTGGTGCAGTTTCTCATCAGGCTCAGCATGCCGCCGCGCTGCAGCGAGCGGTTCCAGCTCACGCAGGCAAATTCACTGGCTGATTGCCATTGTTCTGTAAAACACAACAGTGACTGCAATTCTCTCTGCAGCTATCGCTTATCAGCCTCTAGTTAGGTTACGGATGGGCTCAGGCTCATTTGACTGTGGCGATCTGAAATCATAATGATTGAAAGGTCCATCAGATAATAGAGTTTTAGTTTCTACAATCTGTTATTGCTGAATATTGGTATTGTCAACAGTGAAACACTTTATTTCACCTTGTTGTTAATGTTGAATAGATTATGAGCAAGCAGCACAATGATTTCATCCCACAGATAATAAAAAACTGCCAATTAGGATTAATAATCAGAGACGGAATGTCGGGTAAAATATATATTAGTAGAGCGGCGGGCCCAGTCATCAGGATTATACGTTTAGCCCTAATCATGTAGCCGTAGGTCGTGCCGATGATTATGACGGATCTGTGAACTGATTTATTTTTTCTGTTTCATTCTCACAGCGAAGCAAATCATTTCTAGGTCAGTGGCTGTCAAAGGGCTGGAGTCGCAAGCCATTTTTATCCTGCCTCGGCACAAATTGGTTGAAAGCACTTCTTTTTCTCGGCCCGTGATTGAATTACTCTTCCTTTCTCTTATATACGTTTTATTGTCACACTTTTGATTTTTGTCTTGCAGTTTTTTAATAGAAATGTTCCTGTTTAAAAAACAAATGCAGCTGGCTTTATCATCACATTAGTTAAATTACACACCTATTGCAGTGTTTTCAGACCAGTGCATTCTTGTTCTAATACATAAAAGGCAGATCAAAAAACTTTTATTAAGCTATTACTGTTTAAGAGGGATTATATTGTCCTGCACAAGTGTGATAATGTGTACCTTTGTGTTCATTCCTGATAACTCCGTGTAAAGCCTGATTATCATGTCTGATTTGTTGTTTTAAATTCACAGACCGTGCATACATGTACATGTATGTCCCAGGGGGGGATATGCTGCCAAACAAAAGCTAATTATATTATTTGTGATAAGGAGACTGAAGTGCTCTGAGGACGAGTCAGTGCCAATATGTTTTTGTTTGTGTTGCCTTTATCTCTTCCTAATTGTAAATTCCATGTCTTGCAGGCAGGTGATAAAAGGAGAAGCCGGCTGTTCTATCCCAGCTTAAAGAAGACCCAGGATAGAAGCTGAGAGAGTTGGAGGGGGATTCGCCACTACCAAGGGAAAATCAGCATGAATGTGCCTCTGTACAACTGACGAGCAGAACTGGAATGATATCTTGACCCTTTTTCCTGGAAGTGACCAAGTTAGCGATGAGCGGGGGAATATAATGGCCAAGAACAAGGATGCGCGGCCCCCGTCATTCGCCGTCAGTGTGGTTGGCCTCTCAGGGACGGAGAAAGAGAAGGGAAATTGTGGCGTTGGCAAGTCCTGCCTATGCAACCGGTATCTTCGCCCCAATGCCGACGGCTACTACTCGGAGCACACCTCGGTGCTGAGCACAATAGACTTTGGGGGACGTGTGGTTAACAATGACCACTTCCTGTATTGGGGGGAGGTGTCCCACCGAGGGGACGACGGGTTGGACTGTAAAATACAAATCATCGAACAAACGGAGTTCATCGATGACCAGACGTTTCTTCCGCATCGGAGTACGAACCTGCAGCCGTACACCAAACGGGCGGCGGCAACCAAGCTCCAGTCGGCAGAAAAGCTTATGTACATCTGCACGGACCAGCTGGGCTTGGAGCAGGACTTTGACCAGAAGCAGATGCCCGACGGGAAGCTGAACATCGACGGCTTTTTGCTCTGTATCGATGTTAGCAAGGGTTGCAATAGGAAGTTTGACGACCAAATGAAGTTCGTCAACAGCATCTACTCCCAAATTGTCAAGTCAAAGAAGCCCATTGTCGTTGCTGCCACGAAATGTGACGAGGGTGTGGACCAGCACCTGAGGGACCTGCAAGCCTTTGTTGCCAGCAAGAAGAACCTGCTGCTAATCGAGACGTCGGCGCGCTCCAACGTCAACGCAGAGGTCTGCTTCAATGCCCTCATCCAGCAGCTGGATAAAACGAGGGGGAAGCCAAAAACTGTGCCATACCTGGAGGCATATAAAGTGCAACGGCAGCTTGTCGCCTCAGTAACGGATAGATTTGAGAAATTGATAGTGCACACCGTTAGGGATTACCACATCACGTGGAAAACGGTGATCAATAATATGAAGGGCCAGCCTGACTATGACCAGTTCATCACCTTGGAGGGCTCCAGGAAAGCACGCAACATGTTCACAAAGCACATTGCACAACTGAAGCAGGAGCACATCAAGAGGCGGAGGGAAGAATACCTGACAACACTACCGAAAACCCTTAACAACCTCCTCAATAACCTGGACGAGGTCGAACACCTCTCTTGGCCCGAGGCACAGAGTGTGATCCGGAACCGGCCGGATTTCCAGTACTGGTTTGTGGTCCTGGAACAGACGCCGTGGGATGAGACGGACCACATTGCCATGAGTGACCGCAGGATACCCTTCGACCTCCTCGACACGCTCGACGGTGAGAAAATTTACCATAACCACGTCCAGCACTTGCTCTCAGAGAAGAGAAGGGTGGAGATGAAGGACCGGTTCAAGAAGACGCTGGATAGGGTTCACTTTATCAGTGCAGGGCAGCCTTGGGAGGAAGTCATGTGCTTTGTCATGGAGGACGAGTCCTACAAGTACATCACAGAATCAGATAGGAGGGATGTTTACTGTAGACACCAGCAGGAAATAGTTGAAAGGGCCAAAGAGGATTTTCAGGAAATGCTTTTTGAGCACGCTGAGCTATTCTATGACTTGGATCTGAATGCCACCCCCAGCTGTGACAAGATGAGCGAAATTCACTGTGTGCTGAATGAGGAGCCAAGATACAGAGCACTGCAGAAACTTGCCCCAGATAGAGAGTCGCTCCTCCTCAAACACATTGGGTTTGTTTACCATCCCACGAAGGAGACATGCCTGAGTGGGCAGAACTGTGTGGATCTGAAAGTGGAGCAGGTTTTAGCAAACAGGCTGGTGCAGCTCGACCACGGCCGCTCTAATCTCTACTATAACAGTGCCAACATCGATAAGATCAATCTCTGCCTCCTGGGAAGGGAGGGTCTCTCACAGGAACTAGCCAATGAGATCCGAGCTCAGTCCACAGACGACGAGTACACCCTGGACGGTAAAATTTACGAACTGGAGCTTCTGGCCGTGGATGTCAATTCCACGCTGCTCTTCAGCCACACGTGGGTCACCACCTTCAAGCCACATGGCTGCTTTTGCGTTTTCAACTCCATCGAGTCCCTCAACTGTATTGGAGATTGCATAGGCAGGATCAGAGCGGAGATGGCACAGAGTCGGAGAGATAGGTTTGCTCAGCCGCTACCTTTCATTCTAATCTTGGCGAATCAGAGGGACAGTGTTTGCAAAAACATACCCATCCTGAGGCACCAGGGCCAACAGCTGGCAAACAAGTTGCAGTGCACCTTTGTCGACATCCCCTCCGGGGCCTTTCCACGTAAATTCACAGAGTTCCAAATTAAGCAGGGTCTCCGCGCAGCGCTGGATGGGCTAAAGCATAACTTTGATGTCTTGGCCCCACTGCCCTCTATCAAAGACATGTCAGAGACGGACCTCAGGATAGTCATGTGCGCCATGTGCTGGGATCCTTTCAGCGTCGACCTCATCCTCTCGCCTTTCCTGGACTCGCAGTGTTGTAGCGCGGGTCAGCCGGGCCAGAGCAACACACTGATACTGGACAAGATCATCGGGGACAGCAGGAGGAGGATCCAGGTCACCGTCCTCTCCTACCACACTGCTATCGGGGTCCGCAAAGACGAACTGGTGCACGGATACATTTTGGTCTACTCTGCCAAACGCAAGGCTTCTATGGCGACCCTGCGGGCCTTCTTGGCCGAAGTCCAGGACGTGATCCCCGTCCAGATGGTGGCCATTACAGACAGCCAGGCAGACTTCTTTGAGAATGATGCCATCAAGGAGTTGATGACGGAAGGGGAGCACATTGCCACAGAGATTGCCGCAAAGTTTACGGCACTCTACTCGCTGTCGCAGTATCATCGGCAGACGGAGGTTTTCACACCCTTTTTCAATGAAGTGCTGGAGAAAAAGCCGAACATTGAGAGCTCCTTCCTGTATGACAGCTCGTCACGTGAGTGCACCACTGGTGCCAGTGAAGACGTCTTCCCCACCTCGCCCCATAGCCACTCCCCGGCCTACAACACCTATTACCCAGAATCTGATGACGATAACGAGGCCCCACCACCGTACAGTCCAATAGGCGATGACGTTCAGCTTCTCCCCACACCCAGCGAGCGGGCCAAGTACCGCATCGACCTAGAGGGCAACGAGTACCCGGTCCATAGCACGCCTGTGGGAGACCATGAACGCAACCACAAAGTGCCTCCACCTGTCCGGCCCAAACCACTGCTCCCCAAACCTAATGTCAAAAAGCTAGATCCCAACCTGCTTAAAACCATCGAGGCTGGCATGCGAAGCAACCGCAGGATGCAGCGTGGCCCAATGACGCACAGTGAGGATGTGGATGCATCGGACAACTATGCAGACCCCGTGGACACCTTGCTGAGGTCCAGGGGCTTCCACAACGACGACATATACGCTGTGCCCGATGATGCACACAGTCGTCTGGTCAAAGTAAGAAACTCCTTCGGCGGGTTGCATGTCCTCCACGGAGGAGGAGAGGAAGAGAACGGATTCGACAGGAAGTGTCAGGCCGGACGGCGGGGGTCGAAATACAAACATCGCTCTAAAATCCTGTTCAGCAAGACGAAGGCCTACCAAAGACGATTCCAGTCCGACAGCGATGGGGAGGAGTCGGGCCCCGCCATGCAGAAAAAGAAAAAGGGAAGAGCCCACCGGGGCAGCGAGGAGGACCCGCTGCTCTCCCCTGCCGACCCCTGGAAGGGTGGGATAGATAACCCCGCCATCACCTCGGACCCGGAGCAGGAGGACAAGAAGATGAAGAAGAAGAAGAAGACGCCAAAGGAACCCAAGAAGGTGAGTCTTCTCCGTCATGAATCTTGACGTATGCAGAGATTTAATGTCAGGTCAATTTTATCCACTTTGTTTTTAGCAAACAGGGTAGTTTAAAAGTTATCTTTATAGAGCAACAAAAGACAGAAAGAGATGTTATAGCCGGCAAGACACTGAGCCAAATCTATTTTGTTTTTTTACTGAAAGAAAGCTTCAGTGCTTTGAATATGAGAGAGAGAATGAAAGAGTGTGAATGAGAGCAGAAGAGATTGTGTACAGTAGTGTGTGGGTGTGTGCAGATTTCTGTTTTAATAGGCCCGGGACTCATAGTGAGAATAAACTAAGTTGATAAGTGATTGATCTGACCCGCTGCTGAAATGGTTTATGAGCCTCCCCACCTTTCAGGCCCCAGACAACCAATAAAAACCTTGATAAAGAAGACGCACTGTTACAGACTGTCTGTATAATCTCAGAGCAGAGGCTGCATCTGTGATAAGATGTCCGCTTATCCTTCACAACAGCTCTCTAAAGGCTTGTCTGAGGCTGCTGAGCGCACACACACAAATACATAAGCAACAAGCATTTAATACAGCCACTATTATCTAAGACAAATACTGTATGCACACACGTGGCAATTCAGCTTTGCAAATGAACACAAATCAAACAGCTTTTGAATAATGCAGCTAAAAGCAAACAAGCTGACAGTACGCACACCAGTCCTAACAAACAGCTTTCATGTATATTTGCATAAGAGATCCATACATGAAATCTAAAATAGCAATAAGAATACTTCCATTTCTAAAGTCAGTGCTCTGAATGGATCTTCATTATTTTCCCTTTTTATTTTCTATAAGTTAACTTGAGCCCTGCATGAATCTTAGGCTGCAACATCCGATTGAAAAAGTTTGCAGTCACTTGAAATAATGACTCCACACCAAAACTGTGTGTAGCAATTGCAGCGTCAAGCAAAAACAATCACAGCGTGCACGATCTGTCAGTGTCCCGTTGCCCGATTGGACAACAACAACGCAACACACGCATGCAGGCGAGCGAGCTCGCATCAGATAATAGTCTGCAAAATCCATGTAGGAACAGCCGCCGGCGCTATACGGGCGTCATGAATGCAGGGCATTGTTGTAACATTCAAACTGTCTTTGATAATCAGAGAGGGAAAAGTGAAAGGGCAACCACAAGGTACAAAATGGAAGGTGTTTAGTCGCTGTCCTGAAGCCGCTGTAGGCATGACAACACTTTGATGAGCAGAGGAGTGTGGGAAATCAAAGCCGCCTCGTTACTTGTCCCAGCTTCAGTCCTAAATAACGGTTTTGTCTTTTTTTCTTCTCATCTTCCTCCACATGAACCTCTCTCTGGTATCTCCCTCTCTAACGTTCTGTCTGATCCATTCCCCAACTGACCTCCTCCTCGTCTTCTTCTTCTTCTTCTTCCTCGTCGTCTCTATCTTCTGCCTCTCTTCATTTCTGCTCTCCCCCGTGTATTTTTCCTCAATTCTTTCTTCTTTCACTCCTTTCTCCATCTTCTTTCTATCTCTTGATGCTCTTCATGCTCTTCCCTTTTTCTTATTTTTCCTCATCTTCCCCTTGTCTCCCTTTTTCTTTCCTGTTGTCCCTTAATATCGTCCCTACCTACTCTTGTCTCTCCTCCATCATCTCTTTTGGATTGTTTCCTCTAATTCTGTCCCTCAATTTGCAATTTCCCATTTCTTCCATTTTTACTTCCCCTTCATTCCTGTTTCCTCATTTCTCCCTCCCTACTTCCCTTCTTACTCCTTTCCATCCCCCTTTCTCCTCTGTGCTCTCCTCTTCCCTTCCATCCCCCCCTCCCCCCCCCCCCCCCCCCCAACACTTTATAGCCAAAATCCTCCAAGCCCCCAAAGCCTCTATACCCCCCGACCCGGAGAACATGGGAGAGCAACTATTTTGGCGTTCCCCTGCAGAACCTGGTGACCTTGGACCGACCCATCCCGCTCTTCATTGACAAATGCGTCGACTACATCGAGCGCACAGGTGAGTCATTTTTTCCATTGTTTTCTCTCTCTTCTTCTGGCCTGATATCTCACTCATCTTCTTCTTCTTCTCTCTTGTTTCTGTTTTCATTTTATCTCCTGCCTGTGCGTTCAGGTGCAACCAGGCTCTCTCTGGTATTTTGTAACTCTTGCAGAGTGAAGCTAGGTTTGTTCTTACATGCAAAATCTTTGTTGTTATTTGAGGTGGAAATTCCTCTCATGTCTTTCCAAATGAGTAATGATGCGAGAGGAGGAGGAGGGACGGGGGGCTGGGGAGATGATTTGAGGTGGGAGTGGGAAGTGAATCTAAATTATTATAAGATTCATTCTCGGATCTGATACCACCCACCAAACATGTTTTGTCTGGTCCGTCAACCAGCCTGCCGGGCTGCCAGTCGATACAAGTCAATTTGAATTGAATGAGCTTTATTGGCACGCCATTTGATGTGTTGCCAGAGCACTGCTGGAAAGATTACAAAATAAGATGGCGAAAGATTACCGTGATCAAAAAAACAGATTAAGGAACGGCAGTGGAGAGATTTACGTGTCGTCCCTTAATTAACCCAAGAAAAGAAGAACACGAGATACTCGTAAGAACATGTCAGAAAAATGAATGATGCTGAAGTACCATCAGTTTAAAGTACAGTCGCCTAAAACATGTCAGCAGATAGCAGGAAAAAAGCCACATTTAGCTCCGGCTTCTCAAATGTGAAGATCTGCTGCTTTTCTTTGTTTTGTGTCATTGTGAAGTTAATATTTTGGGGATTTGGACTATTAAATCGCCAAAAAGAGGCTATTAGAATATGTTGCTCTGGGAAATTGTGATGATGGTTGTAGGATTTATAATGAAAAGAATCGCTGGGTGCAACAGTCTGAACAGTCAGACATACTCTTACTCTCTCCTAAGGGTTGCAAGTTCAAATCCTCAGTTCAAATTCAAGAGTTTTGAGAAACTTTAAGGAATACCTCAAGTACATCAAATGCACTTTGGTTTGCTTGCACGTGATATTAATAGTGAGTCTGAAATGTCAGTGAGAAATACGTTTTCTACACAATGGCATCCCAACAATGGTTAAGATGCAATGGTTAACAGCCAGCTACCGGGGGGGCGATGGAGGTGTGATCTGTCGTGTTTATAGATTGTATAGAAGAAGTAGATGTTGTCACCATGACGTCGCTCGATTGTTTACGGTTTTGACGCCTCTAGTAGGCCTTTTTTAGCCATCGCCATCTTGGTTTTTGGAACCAGAAATGACACAAGAGGAGGTGGAGCTAAGTACAACCGAACGGGTTGAAGTTTGACACCCAAACCCCCAAATTTTGCTGCGATTTTATTTAGCTTGACACTCTGTGAATGAGTCTTATTTTGTGCGTCAGCAGGAATGTAGCACAGCATTAAAGTGAAGCTCTGTTTGTTTAAATATGAAAGTGCAGTAAAAATGTTCTTGAGGGACGACTGCAGTGAGATTCAAACCCCCAACCCAGACCCAAAAACAGCTTCCCCTCAGCCCATTAAAGACCCAAACTCTTACTTTTATCCCCTCTCACCACTGAAATGAATATTTCAAACACATTTAATATTGCATGAGCTTGTTGCATAATGTAATAACACATGGTCCAGTGCTCTTTTTACATGTTTAGTGCCTTGAAGAAGCAAAAGTGCAGAAAGACCTCCAAGTAACTTTTCCCCCCAGTCAGATTCTCCAAAATATCCGATGACGTAATGCTTCCTGTTGAGGTTTTTCTGCTGTGTATTCAGGTCAGTTTATATTTATTCATGTGCTCAATTCAGGATCAGTTTTGGTCTTAGTGAAAGTGACAGAATGTCTCTTTAAGGTATTTAGAGGTAGTATTTTTGTGTATTTGTACACACTGTGCCCCCCCCCCCCCAGCCCTCGACATATAAATCCCTTCAACACGAGACTGAAAACACGTCTTATCGCCGCACTCCCTCTCCTCCTCCATATGTGCAGCAAATGAACACCACGAACATTAAAGGGAGCATTTCCTGTGTTTCTGCCCGTGAGCGAGCTTCTGTTTCTGAAGGTAGCGCTCTGAGCCTGAGCTCTCTTCTTCGCTCTGGTTCCGTTAATTCCTGTCCTGAAAATCCCCCTTCGAATATGTTTTGATATTCAGCTGGATCTACATGAGCCCCCCCCCTCTCCGCTGGTGGCTGCCAACCAAATTTCGGATTAATCCCAGCGCTGTGTGTGTGTGTGTGTGTGTGTGTGTGGACGCCTGCCAGCTGACGGTGGTGTATTGGAGATTTCATGGCTAGTGCCGTGAAACCCTCTAAGTCCAGACGGTCTGTTGGATTTAACAGCTTTCATTTCTCACCAGATGTAAAAAGTGTTGTTGTTTAAGGTGCTTTTGAAAGCCCTTCATGCTGTTTCTCTGACGGAGTGAGAGGACGGGGTTTGTGTAGTCTTTAATCTGCCTGTAGAACATATCTGAGTCCATAGCTCAGAGGGTGGGGTCCTCCTGTGAAATGTACAGAGTGGGTGTTGGCGTTACGCTCAGTCTTCAGTCTGCAGACACCCACCCTGCTAACGTCTGCTAACGTCTGCTAGAGTAAGAGGCTGAACCCTCTGACCTCTGACCTCTGAGCGTGGTGGGAGGAGAGACTCTGTCCCGATGGGAACCATTAAAACTTCACCATGATGTTGTGTTATTGCTGGTTTTTTTCCACATCTAACAACAGACACTTGTCACTTTAATTGAAGGTCAGAGTCAAAATGTTAGCGCTCTCCTCTCCTCCATGGTGGACCGGTTCATAGTGTTTCTGTCTCTCAGAGAAATGACTTGTTTAATGGTTTGACCCAGCGGTGCTCTGGTTTAGACGTTTCTTTTAACATAAGAGAGGTTTGTTTTCGTTTCTTACATGAAGAAAAGGTCGTCTGTAGAAAACTTTACTCTATATTTCACAAAGTAAAGTTTATAAAAAGCCTCGTCTCAGACAGTATCTATACTGAAACTCGGCCATCTTAACAGCTCTAATATTGAAATGAATCCCAGCTCAGGCAAATATTCACATTTGAGAAGCTGAGACTGCTGACGTTTTGTTTTTCTGTTATTAAAAATCATTCCTGATTAATATTTTGTTGGTAGACTAATGAAATGAATCAGCTAATCGTTTCAAATCTACAGAAACATATTGAGTAGACGTATCCACAAGCTTCAAACGTAGGTTTCATTTGTGTGGCGAGGCCACACTGCTGCCTGGTTTGGTTTCACCGCGTGTAGTCAGCCGAGAGGCAGCGAGGTGATGGTGGTGTCTGTGGTTTCAGAGTGTGTGAGGACAAACTGTGACTTTATGTGAGTGTGGCTGTAAATGTGACTGAAGGTGTGAAGCTGTGGTGTGTGTGTGTGTGTGTGTGTGTGTGTGTGTGTGTGTGTGTGTGAGTGTGTGAGAGAGACCTTCATGTGCTGGGGTTTGTGTAAGTGATAAGAATTGTGTGTGTGTGCTGGATTTAAAGCACATCTCCTAATGTTCTCAGGTTTTGTGGTGAAAACTCGATGTGACGTTTCTCCAGGAACAAGCTAATTAAGAGCTCGTCTGTGTCAGGAGTTTTGTTTTAAGTGTGGAAGTGAACTCTTGAGATAAAATGCTGCCTATTAAATAAGGATGATGTTTGTTCTGTTTCCTGCTTGTTATCATTTTCTTTAGTGCGCTCCAGTCACCACTTTCTAATTATAACACAACTCACAGGCCTCCCAGAGGGCCTCGCAACCCTGCAAAGAAAAAAGAACGAACTAAAGCCTTCAAGGTTCCTGAAAAAGAACAGGTGGCCTCACAAACGCCCATTTTATGTTGAAAGTGACCAGCCAGATGTGTCAACGTGGTTCATCTTTGTGTCTGAGTGAGATGGGGACGTATTAACTGGGACACACATCCATAATGTCCTTCCTCTGTAGGTCTGTTCTTTGATTTAAAAAGGAAACATGGTGCTTGATGTTGATGACGTGTTGGTATTTCTGTGTGTCTCTGTGCAGTTGATCACAGCTCTTTTCATGTGTTTTATTATTAGGCTATCATAAGGTCTATTGTTGCTTTTTATATGACAAAAAGTTTTTAAACTAATTAAATACTTCAATGTAGAACACAGAAGAGCAATGAGTTGCAGCAGGTTGTTTTGTTGCTCTGGTTGCGGTGATGAGGAATATCAGCCGCAGTAAAAATGTCGTCACCAGGTAGAGTACCTGTTCTGGATCAAAGGAAGGCTCACGTGTCTTAATTTGTCCTCCATTGTTGTTGCCGACATGAAGGATGTGACGCTTTGACTTATCGTGTCTGTCCCACCCCTCCTCCTTTGTGATTGGACGGCTGGGTGTAAACAGTGACGAGCTCAACATTGTAGGTCAATAGCGTGGTTATTGCCGTATGTCGGTTATTGCGACAGAGTCTAGTATCTGATTGTTCTTCAGCTGACAACATCAGCTCGTTGGATCTTTTTATCTGCGTGCTCGTGTTCTGATCGGAGTGAAGGACTGGAGGTGAGATATCTGAGACACGACCTAGATTATACGACTTCACTGAGATAAGAAGGAACTTTATTGATCAAAGATTACAACAGAAGAATAAGAACAAACAATAGGAGGAAGAATATAAACAGATATGAACAATAGAGTAATAAGTGACATCACTGCAAAATAGAATAGAAATAAGAGTGAAATAAATATAGTAAATAATAAATAACAAACACTAAAGGAAGTGAAGAAAGCTGCTGAAGTAAAGTGAGAAAATATCAGGCATGTATGAGGTGAAGTATCCTGATGGCCTGTGTTATTACCAGTACACCCCACACACACACACACACACACACACACACACACACACACACACACACACACACACACACACACACACACAGATATGAAGCAGTCAGGAGCATAAGAACCTCTGTGGGTGATCGGAGGAACATCAAAGTGTTGAGTGACCAAAGAAAAAACCCTGCCTGGTTCTCCAGCGTGTCGTCAGCCTCACATTTATTCTCTGAACGC